AGGCAGCAAATTCTCTGGGATTGAACTTTAAGCCTCTAGTGGTAACAAAAGCCAGTTTGGCTACTCGGTAATTGTTTCCCAGGACAGAGCAATTGCTTGTGTCCCGGTGATCCTCTGGGAACCGTGCTGTGGGCTGCTGTTTCCATTAGCCCTTTAGCAAGACTGAAGCATTTGGTAATAACCCAGGGGTATCCTTGCTGCAAACTCTAGGTTCCCTCCATCAGCCTGGTGCTCCTTGTAAAAGCTCTTGTAACAACTCCCGTAGGTACTGGTCTGTTTGTATCTCTGTCACTGAGACCCCCATGCGCTAGGCACTGCACATCCAGAGAGAGTTCCTGCACCCATAGAACTCGCTGTCTAAATACCCAAGGCCAACTACTACAGGCTGATGGCAGCGAATAGAATAAATCTTCCTTCTGCCTACTCAGTCAACAGCTTCCTTAATCTTGCAATGGAGGAAGAAAAGGCTGTACTGGTTTGAAAACCGAACCAAAAAAACCTGGTAAACAAAGGGAGGCACGGGAAAGTTGATAGCCATCTATATCAATCCGTAGCAAGGAATTATAGAAAATGATTAAGGGATACAAGGAGAAATCTATGATCAGTAGAACTGAGGACAATAGAGGAGTTTTAAAAAGCGAACAAAAAAGAAACCTAGCCATGTCAATTACTAGATGAAAATGGTAGAATTATCAATTAAGCAGAAAAGGCAGAAGTGGTCAGTAAGCATTTCTGTTCTGTTTTTTTCCCCCAAAAAATATATGAACAATATCACTTATAATACTTATTTCCATTCCACTGGTATCTCTGGAGGATGCTAAACACCAGTGATGAAAATTAAAAGCTTCTGAGGGGTAGCAGAGTTAGTTTGTAAATGGAAAAACTTAAACAACGAAGAGTCTAGCAGCACCTTGAAGACGAACAAAACATGTCGATGGGATCGTGAGCTTTTGTAGGCAGTGTTTCACTTCTGTGCCCACGAAAGCTCATGATACCATCTACATGTTTTGTTCGTCTTTAAGGTGCTGCAAGACTATTTGTTGTATAACTTTTTCTGTGAAAATTAGACCTTTTTAAATCACCGGGTCCAGATAAAAGGAATCCAAGAGGTTTTTTTTAAAAAGATCTGTCACGAGCTTGAGAGGCCATTAACGGTGACTTTTAGTAAGTGGTGGAACATGGGGAAAACGGGACAAAAGCTCATGTTGTCAGTATTGCAAAAGGGTAAATGGTATGACCCAGCTAATTATAGGTATCAGTCTGACATCAATCCTAGGCAAGATACTAGAGTGGCGGATACAGAGCTTCCGAAAGTCTTAAAGGAGGGTAACGCAAGAAGTGCATGTTAATAGGATCAATTTTCCATTCATTCCAATCCAAGATCTCTCCTTTATTACAAGTTTGTTTGATAAAGATAATGCTGTGATCTACTTTTTAAGGCATTTGACTGATGTTTTGATTAAACAACTAGAGTGATACAACATGGCAGCTTTTAACCCATTTAAAATGTGGCTAATTGGTAGTGGCATTCTGAGACCTCTACGTGGGGAATCATCACTGAATGGTGGTGTTTCCAGAGGGGTCCTGTGGGCATAAGGAAAGGAACAGATGAATAGAGCAACCTGGGTTGCTTGGTATGCATTTTAATCTGGCCAGATGCATCCACCTAGGAACAAAGCACATGGGTCGTTCTGACCGGATGGGGTAGACTCTGTCCTGAGAAGCAGTGGTTGAAAGATTTGGGGGACATGATGGATAATCAGCTGAATGTGAGCTCCTGGTGTGGCACTGTGGCTAAAAAGGGGCTAATGCAGCCTTTGGATGTGCAAACGGGAAACTGGAATTGGAACAGGAGCGGATCTTTTTATCTCCGTCTTTGGCTCTGGTGCGACTGGGCAGGTCTGGTGCCCGCAAATCAAGAACATTGATGCATTGGAGAAGGTTCAGGGAAGAGCTGTGAGTGTGATGAGCGGGTTAGAAAGCACGTCTTGCAGAGGGAGACTCAAGGAGAAGGTTGGGGGTGACTCGATGGGGAGAAATTTGTCAGTCTCTAGCAGAGAAATGTGAATTTGTAATGCAGGGTGATTAACCACTGGAATGCATTTTCCAGGGATCACAGGCCACTTAAGTCAGGAGAGGCTCAGGCTGGATGATCCTGGGGGTCCCTTCTGGCCTCAGGCTCTATGAAATATTTATTCTAAAACCAGAGGCTCAGCATGACACCTGCCGGGCTAATGGCAAGAGCAGGGTTTGCGTGTCGGCCATCCCAGTTGTATGGTTTGTTTGTTCCAGGCTTGCTTGTCTGCGCCGTTTTCCCGCCGATCCTGGATGGCCCGAGAAAGGACTCAGTGGAAGGGCGCCCTGGGAAAGCCATCTCCCTCTTTACGGACTGGCCTCCTCTCAGATGCATTCAGGGCTTCACCTTAACTATAAAATAACCTTGACGGTTGCCCCCTGCAGCGAAGCTGAACGCTGATGTGGAGGGAGGTTTGGCCTTGTGGGGCTGGGCTGTCCAAGTTCCCTTCCCAGTCCCATTCAGGCTGCAGTGCGGAATTATTGCTAACCCCATATGCGCCTTCCCTTCCCGCTGCCGAGGGTGGATTTTTGCCCTTGCAGCCTGGAAGGACAAATGCAAAGGACAGCGATGGCTCCCAGCCCCACTTCTTGCGGCCTGTTTCGTTCCAGGAGCTGAGGGACTGGTGGAACCCACTGTAAGGCTGGTGGGATGGTGGCACCAGGCCCCCTGCGACCTGGGGCCTTTGGAGGGCTGCGATGGAGACGAGCAGAACCCCGAGTCCTTGGATTCCACCAGGGTACTTAGCCATCAGTAGAAGGGCAGGGGCAGAAGCATCTGCTTGCAACTTCCTCTCTCCCAAAGCAGCACTCCCAGGAGAGCCATTGTGAGCAAGGAGACAGTCTCCCCGCGAGAATGTCCGTTGTCACCTGCCTGAGACAGGTCGACTTATCCAGGCTCCTCCCCGAGAGCGGGTGGGTCTGTGCCTGGCAGCTGGCACTTGGCTGGGCAGTGGGGGTAAAGGCAGGAATGGACCTAAAGGCTGAAATCCCCGTTTATCCAGAGAGCTAGTCTGTCTGGAGGCAGCCATGCTGCCCTGGCATTTCTGGCCTTGCTTCAAGGCCCTGGTGCCTGCTGGGAGCTGGTGGACTCCCCCGAGTTGTCAGCTGGGTGCGCTGCTTCTTGCAACACCCAACTGGCTCGTGAACCGCTTGGGGGTGGAGCGTGCAGCGCCGGCGGCCCATGAGCTAATTCTCAGCCTGTTAACCTCTGGCGAGGTGCAGAGACAGCTGGGCGGGGCTTCCCAGGCACACTGGTGATGCACCTGGGGCTGAGGAAGTGTCTGCACGACCCCGCACCTGGATCAGTTCCGTTCCCCGGCAGGCAGGCCTTAGAGCTAGCGAGCCCGCTAAGGCTTGGTGGCTGAGTTCCTGTTGCCCGTCGTTCCCAGGGACGCTAAAGGAGCTTGCAGCCCCGGACTGCAGAGAGACAGGCTAAGCCACCGTTCTAGTCGATGCAAATTGCTGGAGAGAAAGGTCGTGCGCTCGTGCGTAGCAGCGGGGTTGAGGATGCAAACAGCCATGCGTGTCTGCAGTCAGCCTCACGCATGAACACCGGCCTCTGCAGAGAACTGTCCATGGGACGCCCAGTGCAGACTCTGGCCCTCCCGCTACAGACGGGGAGTCCTGGGAAGGCCGCAGGACTCGGCAAGAGCTGCCTCTCTAGAGCAGAGCCGGGGAAACCAGCTTTGTCTTATGCCCCGGGGTGCCTGGCAAGCTGCCAGTCCCGCTGCTGGGTCTGCTGACATGCGCAGTGTTTGGGGCATGACAGTGCTGTCTAGACTCACCCTGCCCGTCTGCAGCCCAGGACGGTTGGGGTGGAACTGCCAGCTGGCCAGACGGCACCGCCTGTTGTCTGCAGACCATGCCCCCAGCCCCCCTCCCGCCAGCCTGGCTCCCGGCAAAAGGTTGGCTCTACGGCATGCCTGCAGAGCGAAGAGAGGCGCCGCCGGCTCACGTGTGGGACTTGGCCTGAGCCGGTCTTAGCAGGGGGCCGTGCGTGAAAGGGCCGGGAATCGCTGCATTTTCATCCTGCTG